GCATGTGCTAAACTGGGTCCTGCCCTCCCTGCTTCAACAAGATCTTACACTCTCCCTTCTACAAGCACTGGAGCATCCAAACTGAGGTGATGATACCTCTCTGGAATTTTAGTGTTTTTTTTTATCCCCCCCCCCCCCCAACATAGCTGTTTCCAAATCAGGTTCCCCTGGAAATTGCAGAGCTACACAATGGGTGTAAGAGCAGAGGAATCAGGGAGGAGCTGCTGGAACAGCACTGTCCCAAAGAAACCTTCTTCAGACTAGAAGGGGGCAGCCCTGATGCTGCTCAAGTGAAGGCTTGTGTCACCTGGTGACATGCAAATACCACTTTGGTGGACCAGGTGTCATCACATCTGCTTAAGTCAAAGAGCAGTCAAGGGGTAACAAGCTACACATACTCCCGTTACTTTGGTGATGCCGGCTGTGATTTCCACTGCAGCCTATGCCAGAAGCAGTGCAATCCCATTTCTCTCTTCCCTCCTTTACACCAGCACTACAACCACTTTCAGCCTGCAGTGAGCTGATTCAGGTCACTAATCCAGTGGAGAACTGAACCAAACAAAACAATGTTTTCCATCAGTTTAGTAAACCGAACAGCTAGTTTAAAAATGTAAATGAGCAGGAGTGCTGGTTGCAGGAAGAGGGAGGACATAGTTGGGATCGAAACAGGGAGAGCAGATGTACCTGGAAACACCACAGCAACATCAGATGTCACTGAATGGCACCCTTAGTCCTGATCATGCAATCCCAGTCCATGCACATTCATGCCATGTTCTTCTATCCACAAAGATAGAACTTTGTTTTACTCTCTAATTTGAGAGAGGGTTGCTTTCTAGACTAAGAAATCCCATAAAGGATTAAATAGCTTATGTTCACAACTCTATGCCAGTGGGTGTCACAAGAGGCAGTTTCTGGGACAGAAAACAAACAGATGTAATTTGCTGGCAAAAACATTACAGCTTAGTTTGTATCCCCTAATCTGTCCTGCACACCATGCCTTAGCTAAAGCTTAGCTAGGAAACTTTATTCCAGAGGCTAGTGGTTCAACGTATGGATCAGCTAACCCACAATGAGTTGCACAGCAAAGCCATGTAGTAGATCTGCTGCACTGGAAAGCTCAGATAGGGCCGCCAGGTTCTAAAAAGGACCAGGAGAAACGTACTAACTCAAAAAATGGAAAACCACACTTCTTTGTATCCAGCTCAATTCTGCCAGATGCAGTTAGCTGGATATTGACTCAGTCATCTGCTGGGTCTATTTATCTACCAGGTTTACTGTCAAGTACATTAGAGTTTCCATATTTAGCACTGCAGCACAGGATTTTCATTGCTAATGGTCACACAGGTAAGACTGCTCCTAGAGAAAAGGGTTTTGTACTAAAAAAAAGCCTGGCGAACAGCAGCAAATACTGCTAATAGCTGAGTTTTTTGTCAGTCGTTTAAGAAATGCAAGTTTGTCTGTACAGACAGAGTACAAAGGACAGGATAAAGTGTTTTGGTGGTTGGTGTTTGGTTCTTTTTTTTTTGAGGGCTTGTTTTTATTTTATAATGTGAAAATCATGATAAACAAAAAATCCAGACACTATTTTCATCAGCTTTGCATAAGCCTAAAATGATCCTTGGCTTAGTTTGGGCATGAGAGGTTTAAGTTCACTGTTCCAACAAATCCTGAACTACAGGATGTCTTGCATTGTTTCCAAATAGTTTGGGTTATGGCAAAACAAGAGAACAGAACAAATTGTTACTAGCAAGAACTGGCTGGAACAAGCTATGACAATTTAAGAACTTCCCATCTGAAAAAACAATAAATTAAAAAAAATCACTGATTGCAGAATGAAAAGCAATGCCTCTGCCATTATTAGCTTAGAAGAAAACATGAATACTGTCATGGAAACACTTCAAAAGAACTTGATCTCATGAGCCAACAATGCTGCTGCAAGGAAGAACTCACAACAGTGGGTTTTGCTTCTGTGTCGGGGAAAAATGGTAAGGTTGTGTGGTTTTTTACAGATGTAGTTCTTTCATCTTACTTCCCACAATGTGCAGTGAATAAAAATATTTCTTATTTAGTACACCTGGACATTGGCTTAATGAGACAGGACAGAGAAGGCAGAGAAAAATGCTGCGTATTATCTCATATAATTAAAATTGCTGTAATACACCTACACATACTCACTCCACCTGAACTCCCATCTACCTCTCTGTGCTGCTCAAACTGTCACCACTGGAGGCTGTACAGTGAAAAAAGGCAGGGTTAACCTTGTGCATTACAAGTCGATTCAAAAGAATTCGATTCAAAAGCACATGTTGCACTTGAGAAGTACTGGAAATCCTGGAGCGGTT